AAAAAAAAAAAAAAAAAAAGAATTAGAAGGGAGGAGCTCTCGGTGGCCTTCTGTGTCACCATCAGTCACAGCTTTCCTGGCCAGGTGTACAGTGGCTCAAGCCTGTAAGCCCAGGACTTTGGGAGGCTGAGGAGGGAGGATTGCTTGAGCCAAGGAGTTCAAGATTAGCCTAGGCAACATAGTGAGACCCTGTCTCCAAGAGAGAAAAAGAATTGCTTATTTTATTTTATTGAGAGATGGAGTCTCGCTCTGTTTTCTAGGCTGGAGTGCAATGGCATGGTCTCAGCTCATGTAATCTCTGCCCACTGGATTCAAGCAATTCTCCTGTCTCAGCCTCCCAAGTCACTAGGATTACAGGCCTACACTGCCATGCCTGGCTAATTTTGTATTTTTGGTACAGATGGGGTTTCTGCATGTTGATCAGGCTGGTCTCAAACTCTTGACCTCAAGTGATCCACCTGCCTCAGCCTCCCAAAGTGCTGGAATTACAGGTGTGAGCCACAGCACCTGGCCCATTTAAATTTTTTTTAGATGGGGATCTTGCTCTGTTGACCAGGCTAGAGTGCAGTGGTACAATCACAGCTCACTGCAGCCTCCACTTCCTGGGTTCCATCAGTCCTCCCCTCTCAGCCTCCTTAATAGCTGGGACTGCAGCCATGCACAATCATGCCTGGTTAATATTTCTATTTTTCATAAAGACAGAGTCTCACTATGTTGTCCAGGTTGGTCTAGAACTCAGCTCAAGTGATCCTACCACTCAGCTTCCCAGAGTACTGGAATTACAGTCATGAACCACTGCACCTGGCTCTCCACCAGTTTTTTTTTTTTTTTTTTGAGACTGAATCCTGCTCTGTTGTTCAGGATGGAGTGCAGTGGTTTCATCTTGGCTCACTGCAATCTCCACCTCCAGGGTGCAAGTGATTCTTCTGCCTCAGCCTCCCAAGTAGCTGGTATTACAGGGGTGCGCCACCATGCCCAGCTAATTTTTGTATTTTAGTAGAGATGGGGTTTCACCATGTTGGCCGGGCTGGTCTGAAACTCCTGACCTCAGGCGATCTGCTCACCTTAGCCTCCCAAATTACTGGAATTACAGGCATGAGCCACTGTGCCTGGCTTCTCCACATTTTTTTTTTTTTTTTGAGACGAAGTTTCACTCATGTCACCCAGGCTGGAGTGCAATGGCGCAATCTTGGCTCACCGCAACCTCTGCCTCCTGGGTTCAGGCAATTCTCCTGCCTCAGCCTCCTGAGTCGCTGGGACTACAGGCACACGCCACCACGCCCAGCTAATGTTTTGTATTTTTAGTAGAGACGGGGTTTCACCATGTTGACCAGGATGGTCTTGATCTCTTGACCTCATGATCCACCCACCTTGGCCTCCCAAAGTGCTGGGATTACAGGCGTGAGCCACCCCGCCCAGCCCTACATTTTTTTTTAAATTATTGGAGTTTGGTGGCATGTGCCAGTAGGCTGAGGCAGGAGAATCACTTAAGCCGGGGTGGTAGAGGATATAGTGAGCCATGATGGCATCACTGCACTCCAGCCCGGATGACAGAACGAGACCCTGTATGTAAAAAAAAAATTTTTTTGGAGTGTAGTGGCACAATCTTGGCTCACTGCAACCTCCACCTCTGAGGCTTAAAGGATTCTCCTCCTCAGCCTCCTGAGTAGCTGAGACTACAGGTACAGGCCACCATGCTTGGCTAATTTTTTTTTTATGGCTCTTTTCAGTTTATTGCATGAAAGAGTTACACTAGTCCAAGTTAAAAGCAGACCCCAAATGGTTACATTATATAAGCTATGAAGTTTTTAAACTTGTGACAAGGGACAGAAGGGAAATTCTACTCATTGCAAGGAAATCCTCACTTAAGCTTCCGTGAGCCACGAGCACTTAAAACCCATGAACCTTCAGCTGATTGTCCTTAGGCAATGCAATCTCTGGGGGGACCTGGCATATGTTCTTGAGTTGGTCACCCTGTAGCTGAATGAATTCTCCATATTCTGGATGCTCAATTATAGTACCATTGCAGGCAAACTTCTTCTTAAATGCCTTCACTAGTTTCTTTTTATCGTAATCATCAGCGATCCCTTGGACAGTAGTAAGGGTCTTCCTGCTGTTTCTCTGTTGACTTCTTATATGGATATAATCCTCAGTGCCAGCAGGAAGCAGGTCATCACCCTTACCTGCATCAGCAAAGGGGTCAAAAGAGTGGACGTTCTGCATAGTGGACATACGATACGATTCCTTTCCCTCGGCCTGCGGAAGGCCACGGCGGGAGAAGGCAGGCAGGGGAGATGGAACGTCGGGAAGCAAGGGGGCTCAAGGGGGAAGCTGCTGAGTCCTCGGCAGCGGCTCAGTGACTGAGACTAATTTTGTTTTTTTTTGAGATGGAGTCTCTCTCTGTCACCAGGCTGGAGTGCAGTGGTGCAATCTCGGCTTACTGCAACCTTCAACTCCCTGATTCAAGCGGTTCTCTTGCCTCAGCCTCTCATGGCTGGAATTACAGGCACATGCCACCACACCCAGCTAAATTTTGTATTTTTAGTAGAGACGGGATTTTACCATGTTGGCCAGGATGGTCTCGAACTCCTGACCTCGTGATCCACCTGCTTTAGCCTCCCAAAGTGCTAGGATTACAGGTGTAAGCCACCATGCTCAGCCCCTAATTTTTGTATTTTTAGTAGAGATGGGGTTTCACCATGTTTGCCAGGCTGGTCTTGAACTCCTGACCTCAAGTGATCCGCCCTCCTTGGCTTCCCAAAGTGCTGGGATTACAGGCGTGAGCTACCGTGCATGGCCAAAAAGTTTTTTAAAAGATTTTTAAAATTTTTAAAAAGATTTCTCAGGCCGTAGTGGCTCATGCCTGTAATCCTAGCACTTTCGGAGGCCGAGGTGGGCAGATCACAAGGTCAGGAGATTGAGACCATCCCGGCTAACATACTGAATTGAAACCCTATCTCTAAAAAAAAATAAAATAAAAAATAAAAAGAACTTTCTCACTGCAATAAAGAATCTTGGGCCAGGCACAGTGGCTCATGCCTGTAATCCCAGTACTTTGGGAGGCTGAGGTGGGTTGATCACGAAGTCAAGAGATCAAGACTGTCCTCGCCAACATGGTGAAACCCCATCTCTACTAAAAATACAAAAATCAGCTGGGTGCATGGCTCAAAACTATAGTCTCAGCTACTCAGGAGGTTGAGGCAGGAGAATTGTTTCCACCCAGGAAGTGGGGGTTGCAGTGAGCCAAGATTGCATCACTGCACCCCAGCATGGCGATAGAGCGAGACTCCATCTCAAAAAAAAAAAAAGTATCTTGTTGCCAGCCAGGGCCTACGTGAGGTGATGACAGAGCAGTTCTCTGTCCTTCCATGCTGCTGGCTCCTCCATCAAAGGCCCCTTCTCTCACCTTGGCCTTGTGGTCTTGGAGTGGGAGCTGACAGCACCCCTTCTGCCCCAGACGAATCAGTGAACAAGGCCTGACATTGTGAGAATACCAAGTGCCTGTCTTCTTCCCTCTCCTGGCTTAGCTCCTGGCCTCCCCTGGGGTCAGGGTATCGCCTCTCTCTCCAGGAAGGGGAAGCCGAGTCCTTTGCTGAGAAGGTGACTCTGGAACTGCCACTCCCATGCCTGTGTGGCTGGCTTCTGGGTGGATCTCAGGGTCTACCGTTGGGCTAGGGGTGAATGTCATCTGACCACTGGCACCCGGACTGCAAGTAATGAAAAACCCGACTCAAACTGGCCCTACTAACAAGAGGGGATTTGTTGGTTCACTGAGCTGAAGTCAGTTTACATGGCTGACTTCAGATATGGCTGGATGTAGGTGATGAAAAATGACAGAAAGCATTTGTCCTCTCAGCTCCTCTTTTTTCTGTCTTATTCTCAGGTGGTTTCTCCCCTACATGGTGGGAAGATTATGCCCTGCAGCTTCAGATATATATTCTCTCTTTTTTTTTTTTGAAACAGAGTTTGGCTCTGTCACCAAGACAGCAGTGCAGTGGAGCAATCTTGGCTCACTGCAACCTGCGCCTCTCAAGCTCAAGAGATTCTCCTGCCTCAGTCTCCTGAGCAGCTGGGACTACAGGCGTGTGCCACCACTCCCGGCTAATTTTTTGTATTTTTAGTAGAGATGGGGTTTCACCGTGTTAGCCAGGATGGTCTCTATCTCCTGACCTTGTGATCTGCCTGCCTCAGCCTCCCAAAGTGCTGGGATTACAGGCGTGACCCACCGAGTCCTACCAATTATTTATATTTTTAATAGAGATGGAATTTCCTTGTATTGGCTAGGCTGGTCTTGAGCTCCTGTTCTCAAGTGATACCCCCTCCACCAAGCCTCCCAAAGTGTTGGGGTAACAGGCATGAATCACCACTCCTGGCCTAAGGTATCTATCCTAGGAATGCAATGCTAGCCTGAGGAGTAAACCTCTTTTCCCAGTGGTCCTGCCAAAGTCCCAGAGTTAGCTCTCATTGGCTCCACTGGGGTTACATGCTCATCCTGACCCAATCACAATAGCCAGGGGGAGGGGATATACTAATTGGCCAGACACAAAGTTTGCTAAATCTCCTGGGTCCAACTGCATTCATATTCCTTGTTGGTGGTTTTGGGGTAAGGGCTAGCTACGCAAAGGTAATCTGGAGAGATGACACTGACCTCCCTACTCTCTTTTCTGATTTTTCTCCAGTGCCCACTTGGATCTTGGCACTCTCCCTGAGTCTGGCTGGTGCCCTCCTCCTCCTCGCTGGGCTGGTGGCTGTTGCCCTCGTGGTCAGAAAAGGTAACAGCATGCAAAGAAAGTGTGGCATGGCCTGGGCCGGGCCGGGTGGGGTGGTTCACGCCTGTATTTCCAGCACTTTGGGAGGCTGAGGCGGGTGGATCACCTGAGGTCAGGAGTTTGAGACCAGCCTAACCAACATGGAGAAACCCCATCTCTACTAAGAATACAAAATTAGCCAGGCATGGTAGCAGATGCCTATAATCCCAGCTACTCGGGAAGCTGAGGCAGAAGAATCACTTGAACCCGGGGAGTGGAGGTTGCAGTGAGCCGAGATCTCTATTGCACTCTAGCCTGGACAACGAGAGTAAAAACTTCGTCTAAAAAAACACACACACACGGCATACCAGTTGCCAGATTGCAACTTCTGGAAGGTGGAAAATGTGCTTACATTCATACACTTACACCATTTTGTTTTGAGGTTCAGTAATTTGTCCATCACACCCATTTTAACATTATTTATTCATTTATTATTTTTGAGATGAAGTCTCGCTCTGTCACACAGGCTGGAGTGCAGTGGCACGATCTTGGCTCACTGCAACCTCCACCTTCAAGGTTCAGGCAGTTCTCCTGCCTCAGCCTCCTGAGTAGCTGGGATTACTGGCATGCGCCACCATGCCTGGCTAATTTTTGTATTTTTAGTAGAGATGGGGTTTTGCCTTGTTGACCAGGCTGGTCTCGAACTCCTGACCTCAGATGATTCACCCACCTCGGCTTTCCAAAGTGCAGGGAATACAGGCATGAGCCACAGTGTCTGGCCTTAAAATTTTTTATGTGGAGACTCACTCTGTCACCCAAGCTGGAGTGCAATGGCAGTATCATTGCTCACTGCATCCTTGACCTCCTGGGCTCAAGCAGTTCTCCTGCCTCAGCCTCCCAAGTAGCTGGGACCACAGGTACATGCCACCACATCCAGCTAATTATTTATTTATTTATTTATTTTATTTTTTTACAGACAGGGTCTTGCCATGTTACCCAGGCTGGGCAACTCCTGGGCTCAAGCAATCCTCCCACCTCAGCCTCCTGAAAGTGCTGGGACCACAGGTGTACACCACCACACCTAGCTAATTTTTATTTATTTATTTTTCTTTCTTTTTTAAGATAGGGTTTCACCATGTTGGTCAGGCTGGTCTTGAACTCCTGACCTTAGGTGATCCGCCCACCTTGGCCTCCAAAGTGCTTGGATTACAGGTGTGAGCCACCACGCCCGACCCTAGCTAATTTTTAAAAAATATTTTTCGTTGAGATAGGGTCTTGCTATGTTGCCCAGGCTAGTCTTGAACTCCTGGGCTCAAGTGATCCTCCTGCCTCAGCCTCCTAAAATGCTGGGATTACAGGCATGTGCCACCATGCCCAGCCCTATATATATGTATGTGTGTATATATACACACATATGTATATATACACACATATATACATATATATATATATATGTTTTTTTTTTTTTTTTTTTTTGGAGACAGTGTCTTGCTCTGTGTCACCCAGGCTGAAGTACAGTGGGGCGATCTTGGCTCACTGCAACCACAACTGTAACCGCAACCTCCCAGGTTCAAGCGATTCTCCTTCCTCAGCTTCCTGAGTAGCTGGGATTATAGGCATGCGCCACCACAACTGGCTAATTTTTGTATTTTTAGTAGAGACGGGGTTTCACTATGTTGGCCAGGCTAGTCTCGAACTCCTGACATCATGAGCTATCTGCCTCTACCTCCCAAAGTGCTGAGATTACAGGTGTGAGCCACCGAGCCCAGCCTGAAATTAATATTTTTAAAGAAAACCAATTTTACATGCTTGCCCCTTGTTTGATGTTTTTACTGACAGCTATTATTCTTGTAATTGAAAAGGAAATTTTTATTTTTATTTTTTTACTTATATAACAAACCTGCACATGTAAAAAAAAAAAGAAACATTTTAATTTGCAGTACCTTTGAAATATAAAAAATAAAAATAAATGTTTGCAGTAGTTCTTGTGTTGGGTGCAAATTTGCCTGAGGAGAGGCAAATCTGGGTTGCAAATAAACGGAGTGGGGGTGGGTTTATAAATCTGAGGCCTTGCCATGTGCTGTGGCTCACGCCTGTAATCCAAGCACTTTGAGAGGACGAGGCAGGCAGATCATGAGGTCAGGAGTTCCAGACCAGCCTGGCCTATATGGTGAAACCCCATCTCTACTAAAAATACAAAAATTAGCTGGGTGTTGTGGTGCACACCTATAGTCCCAGGTACTTGGGAGGGTGAGGCAGAAGAATCGCTTGAACCTAGGAGGTGGTGGTTGCACTGACAGAGCGAGACTCCATCTCAAAAAAAAAGATAAAAAAAGAAAGACATCTGAGGCCTTCCAGGCCAGGTGTGGTGGCTCACGCCTGTAATCCCAGCACTTTGGAAGGCTGAGGCGGGTGGGTCACTTGAGGTCAGGACTGCAAGACCAATCTGGCCAACATGGCAAAACGCTGTCTCCAGTAAAAATACAAAAATTTGCCAGGCGTTATGGTTTGCGTTGATAATCCCAGCTACTTGGGAGGCTGACTCAGGGGAATCGCTTAAATCCAAGGGGCAGAAGTTGCAGTGAGCCAAGATCTTGCTCCAGCCTGGGTGACAGAGTGAGACTGTGTCAAAAAAACAAAAAACCCAGACATTGCCAGATGCAATTAGGACCAAAATCTAACACATGCGCTTTTCTTTTCTGTTCCAGTTAAACTCAAAAATTTACAGAAGAAAAGGTGAGACCATCCCCGGAGACCTTGTGAGTGTGGTTTGGGGACAGAAGGACACTTCCCTGGCAGAGTGGGCACTCCACGCCCCCTCTTAAACAGCACCTCCTGGTGGCCATGCTGCATAATAGGAACAGGTGCCATGTATTAAGTGCCTATTGTGTGCTGGATGACTGTGCTAGGACTCCCTGAAGCTGGAGCTCCTTATCCTCATGGCAACCCTGGAAACAGGCACTATGAATAGCCCCATTTTGCAGATGAGAGGACTGAGGCTCAGTATTTGGTCACAGAGTGAGCAGTTTGCCCAGGGAGAGGCCCTTCCCCACACCCCTTTACCTCCAGCTGCCAGAAAACGGTCATAGTCACTCTAGATACCCACAGTCAATTTCTAATGAATGTCCCTGGGGTTGTGCGCTGCCCAATGACACTGTAGGCAGTGGCCCAGGTTCCTGGGCGCCAGGATGTCCTAACTGGCCCCGGCCTTAGTTTCTCTCCTCTGAGAGTGCTTTCTCTCTTCTTCACCCTGCTGCCTGGTGGTGAAGACCTGCTCTGGGGATCGAATCCATCTTTACCTGGCTGTGGGCTGCCTACCCAAGAGAATTTTTATTATTGTTATTATTTTTAGACAGAGTCTTGGTCTGTCGCCCAGGCTGGAGTGCAGTGGTGTGATCTTGGCTCACTGAAACCTCTGCCTCCCTGGTTCAAGCGATTCTTCTACCTCAGCCTCCTGAGTAGCTGGGATTACAGGTGCCTGCCACTGTGCTCGGCTAATTTTTTTTTTTTTTTTTTGAGACAGAGTCTCACTGTGTCACCAGGCTGGAGGGTAATGGCACTATCTTGCTATCTCAGCTCACTGCAACCTCTGCCTCCCAGGTTCAAGCGATTCTTCTGCCTCAGCCTCCTGAGTAGCTGGGACTGCAGGCACATGCCACCACACCCAGCTAATTTTTTTGTATTTTTAGTAGAGATGGTGTTTCACCATGTTGGCCAGGATGGGCTCAATCTCGCAACCTTGTGATCTGCCTGCCTCAGCCTCCCAAGGTGCTAGGATTACAGGTGTGAGCCACCGCGCCTGGCTAATTTTTCTATTTTTATTAAAGACAGGGTTTTAGGCCGGGCGCGGTGGCTCAAGCCTGTAATCCCAGCACTTTGGGAGGCCGAGGCGGGTGGATCACGAGGTCAAGAGATCGAGACCATCCTGGTCAACATGGTGAAACCCCGTCTCTACTAAAAATACAAAAAAAAAAAATTAGCTGGGCATGGTGGTGCGTGCCTGTAATCCCAGCTACTCAGGAGGCTGAGGCAGGAGAATTGCCTGAACCCAGGAGGCGGAGGTTGCGGTGAGCCAAGATCGCGCCATTGCACTCCAGCCTGGGTAACGTGAGTGAAACTTCGTCTCAAAAAAAAAAAAAAAAAAAAGACAGGGTTTTACCATTTTGGCCAGGCTGGTCTTGAACTCCTGACCTTGTGATCCACCCGCCTTGGCCTCCCAAAGTGCTAGGATTACAGGCGTGAGCCACCACGCTCGGCGACAATTTTTGTTTTTAGACGGAATCTCGCTCTGTTGCCAGGCTGGAGTACAGTGTCACTATCTCGGCTTACTGCAACCTCTGCCTCCTGGGTTCAAGCAATTCTCCTGCCTCAGCCTCCTGAGTAGCTGGGACTACAGGCACGTGGCACCACACCCGAGTAATTTTTGTATTTTTAGTAGAGACAGGGTTTCACCATGTTGTCCACGCTGGTCTTGAACTCCTGACCTCAAGTGACCCACCCGCCTTGGCCTCCCAAAGTGCTGGGATTATAGGCGTGAGCCACTGCGTGGGACCCAAGAGAATTTTCTTGTTTTTTTCTTTCCCCAGCCAAGGGGTGGTCACAAAGTGTGGTAGCTCCAGATACCAGGATGTCACTGCTTTCCTTGGGGAAGACCCATGGGTCAGTGGGTGGGGAGCAAAGGTGATGTTTTAGGTGTGGTCTGGGGCCAGGGATTTCCCAGTCAAGGCTCCTGACTCAAGGGGCAGCCCTGGCCTCTGTTACTTTCTCCTGAATTCCTTTGCAGAGATGGAGAATCCTGCTGGGCCCAGATTAACTTCGACACCACAGGTGTGTACCTCCACACTCCTGACCCTGGTGGGGACAGGATTACACCTCCAAATGCCATCAGGTCTCATCACATGCCAATCAAACTTCTGTGACTGCTTGTTCCCTTGAGGGTCAAAACACACCCTCGCCACCTCCTCTGGGAAGCCTTCCCTGACTCCCTAGACAGGGTCTGTGGCTGCACTTACATGACCCTAGGACCCACCATTCTTCCTACCCTTTGATAGAAATACAATTAGGCTGACTTAGTGGCTCACACCTGTAATCCTGGTACTTTGGGAGGCTAAGGTGGGAGGATCGCTGGAGCCCAGGAGTTTGAGACAAGCTTGGGCAACATGGCATGATGGAAATCCTGTCTCTACAAAAAAAATTTTTTTTTTTTTTTGAGACGGAGTTTCGCTCCTGTTACCCAGACTGGAGTGCAATGGCGCGATCTCGGCTCACCGCAACCTCCGCCTCCTGGGTTCAGGCAATTCTCCTGCCTCAGCCTCCTGAGTAGCTGGGATTAAAGGCATGCGCCACCATGCCCAGCTAATTTTTCGTAGTTTCAGTAGAGACGGGGTTTCACCACGTTGACCAGGATGGTCTTGATCTCTTGACCTCGCGATCCACCCGCCTCGGCCTCCCAAAGTGCTGGGATTACAGGCGTGAGCCACCGCGCCCGGCCTTACAAAAAAATTCTTAAACGTTAGCCAGGTGTAGTGGCGCAAGCCTATAATTGTAATACCAGCTACTCTGTGAGACCCTATCTTAACAAAAGGAAGAAAGAAACAAAAATGAAACAGAATTAAGTGATCATTGGGTGCCTATATGTTTGATGCTCATTTCCTCTGCTGGATGGCCAGCTCCATGGGGAAAGGACCATGTTTATATCGGGGCCTCCTGGGCCCCTCTTGCCTTCCAGAACATGTCATTCTGCCAGCTTCCCCAAGGGAGAGAAAGGCAGCCAGTCTGTCATGTAGGATGCTCTCTTGAAGGCACCCCAAGCAGAGAAAGGTATTCTCTGTATTTTATTCCTGGTCCAACATACTGAGTACTTACTATGTGCTAAGATCTAGGAGGGTCCTGTCATAACTAAGACATGTGCTGTCTGCCCACAAGCCCATTCTCCAATGGGAAACACCCCATGGTGACAGCAGACTGTCTGGTCCCCAGAGGAGGTGATGGTTTTTGTTTTTTTTTTTTTTTTTTGAGATGGAGTCTTGCTCTGTTGCCCAGGCTGGAGTGCAATGGCACGATCTCAGCTCACCGCAACCTTTCATTCTCGGGTTCAAGCGATTCTCCTGCCTCAGCCTCCCAAGTAGCTGGGATTACAGGCACACATCACCATGCCTGGCTAATTTTTGTATTTTTAGCAGAGGTGAGGTTTCACCATGTTGGCCAGGCTGGTCTCAAATTCCTGACTTCATGTGATCCACCCGTGCCAGCCTCCCAAAGTTCTAGGATTACAGGCATGAGCCAACTCGCCTGGACTTTTTTTTTTTTTTTTTTTTTGAGACAAAGAGTCTTGCTCTGTCACCCAGAGAGGAGTGCAGTGGCGCAGTCATAGTTGACTGCAGCCTTGACCTCCTAGGATTAAGTGATCCTCCCCTCTCGGCCTCCTGAGTAGCTGGGACCACAGGTGCACAGCACCACACTCAGCTAATTTTTAAATTTTTTTTTTTTGTAGAGAAAAAAAATTGTGTTGTAGTCCTCCCTCCTTGGCCTTCCAAAGCATTTGGATTACAGGCGTGAGCCACCTCGCCTGTCTAGAAGTGATGATTAAGCAGAGACCTACAAGAATGGGTGATGGAGTCCTGGTGTGGTAGCTCACACCTGTAATCCCAACACTTTGGGAGGCTGAGGTAGGCAGATCTCTTGAGACCAGGAGTTTGAGACCAGCCTGTTCAACATGATGAAACCCTGTCTCTACTAAAAATACAAAAATTAGCTGGTCGTGATAGCTTATGCCTGTAATCTCAGCTATTGGGATGCCAAGGCAGGAGAATCGCTTGAACCCGGGAGACAGAGGTTGCAGTGAGCCAACATTGTGCCACTGCACTCCAGCCTGGGTGACAGTGGGAGACTCCTTCTCAAAAACAAGGAAAAAATGGGTGATGGAGCAATTAGAGGAGATCAGGGTGGGGAGGAGATGGAGGAGCTGGCAGGTGCTCCTTCTGAAGACACCCATTTTCCCAAGGCCATGAGAGATCCCCTTAGGAAGGCTTTGTGTAGAAGAACGTGGTTCAGTTTTGTTTTGTTTTTTTTTCATTCCTTTTTCAATTTTTTTTTATGGGGTTTCACCATGTTGGTCAGGCTGGTCTTGAACTCCCGACCTCAGGTGATCCGCCCGCCTTGGCCTCCAAAGTGCCTGGATTACAGGCGTGAGCCACCACACCCAGCCTGGTTTTGCTTTTTTTTGAGGCATAGTTTCACTCTTGTTGCCCAGGCTGGAGTGCAAAGGTGCAATCTCAGCTCACCGCAACCTCTGCCTCCTGGGTTCAAGTGATTCTTCTGCCTCAGCCTCCCAAGTAGCTGGGATTGCAGGCATGCACCACCATGCCACCTGGGTAATTTTGTATTTTTAGTAGAGATGGGGTTTTTCCATGTTGGTCAGGCTGGTCTCAAACTCCCAACCTCAGGTGATCTACCCACCTTGGCCTCCCAAAGTGCTGGGATTACAGGTGTGAGTCACCACACCTGGCTGACGTGGTTTAGTTTTTAGGTGTGAACAGTTCACCATACAGAATGGGTTGGAAGGGTGCTGGAGAGGATGCTGGGAGTTGAACCCCAATTGCTTCCCTGTGGGCTGGGGGGAGGCATGGGGACAGCAGAGAGCAGGGAAGTTACAACTGGTCCCAGTCCTGGGTTTTCTTTCTCTTTCTGTTTCAGACATGTCCTTCGATAACTCCCTGTTTACCATCTCCCCGGTGAGTGGTTCTTTGTCTTGGAAGCAGTTTTCTGCTGACCATCCTACCTGGAGGATGGGACGGGCTCAGGGGGCACCAGGAGGCTAAGTTGACCTGCCATCTCTGAGTTGTGGGGGGCTAGGAAAAGCCCAGAATCACTGAACAGGAACTCATTAGTGAACCAAGAGTTAGCTCTGAAAAATCCCCAGGGGTGTGGGCATTGAAGGTGGCAACCAGCCGGGCGCGGTGGCTCACGCCTGTAATCCCAGCACTTTGGGAGGCCGAGGCGGGTGGATCACGAGGTCAAGAGATCGAGACCATCCTGGTCAACATGGTGAAACCCCGTCTCTACTAAAAATACAAAAAATTAGCCGGGCATGGTGGCGTGTGCCCGTAATCCTAGCTACTCAGGAGGCTGAGGCAGGAGAATTGCCTGAACCCAGGAGGCGGAGGCTGCGGTGAGCCGAGATCGCGCCATTGCACTCCAGCCTGGGTAACAAGAGCGAAACTCCATCTCAAAAAAAAAAAAAAAGAAAGAAGGTGGCAACCTTGTTGGGCTGTCATGTGGCCGCAGGTAGGCCCCTCCGGGTTATGTCCTGGCCTGGCCCATGCTGCCTTTGGTCTCAGTTGTGACAGCCCCTCAGAATGGTGACAAAGGATTCAGGCTGACCTGGTGGCCTCTCTGAGGTTATTCATGGAGCCTCATGGCAATCCAATGCATGGTATGGTTGGTCTCCTCTAGGTATAAAGAAAAGTCTGAAGTTGCAGGGCACAGTGGCTCATGCCTGTAGTCCCAACACTTTGGGAGGCGAAGGCGGGCGGATCACGAGTTAAGGAGTTCTAGACCAGCCTGGCCAACATGGTGAAACCCCGTCTCTACTGAAAATGCAAAGCTTAGCCGGTCATGGTGGTGCACATCTGTAATCCTAGCTACTCAGGAAGCTGGGGCAGGAAAATTGCTTGAACCTCCAGGAGGTGGAGGTTGCAGTGAGTGAGCAGAGATCACACTGCTACACTCCAGCCTGGGTGACAGAGTGAGACTCTGTCTCAGAAAAATAAATAAATACAAATTTAAAACTACAAAAGCCTAGGCTACCCCAAATGCAGCTGTGCAGAGTCCCATGGACCTAGGTTTAAATCCAGCCCTGACATTGTGTGACATTGGGAGACAATACCCCTCAAAAGCAGAGAGGGGGATTTTTTTTCCTTTTTTTGTTCCTTTTCCTTTTTTTGAGACAGAGTCTCCCTCTGTCACCTAGGCTGGAGTACAGTGGAGTGGTCTTGGCTCACACAACCTCCGCCTCCCAGTTTCAAGCAATTCTCATGCCTCAGCCTCCTGGGTAGCTGGGATTACAGGCACATACCACCACACCCAGTTGATTTTTTTATTTTTAGTAGAGACAGGGTTTCACCATGTTGGTCAAACTGGTCTCGAACTTTTGACTTCAGATGATTCAGCCACTTCAGCCTCCCAAAGTGCTGGGATTACAGGCGTGAGCCACCACGCTGGCTGGCTGCGGAAGCTGTTTTATACAGGAGATCAGGAAAGTCTGAGATGGATGACAAGCAGGAGTTGGAGAAGATTTGGGATGTTTGATCCAGGCTGAGGACATATTTTTGGCACAGCCTAGTAAGCTGAGATGGAGTGAGGAGTCCAAGGGGACCCGTAGAGAGCTTTGACTTTTCCCCTTTTGAGCTAGGAGCCAGGGAACGTTCCCAGTGTAGGAGGGAGGGGGCCGGATTCAGGTGCACACAGGCGCCCTCTGGTGGCTTCTACAGGGAGGACAGATTTGGGAAAAGGGGATTGGGGAAGGCAGGAGCCTGGAGACGGAAGAGCAGGTTTCTGTGCTGGTGGTTTAGTCCATGGAGTTCGAAGAAGCGATCAGATGCAGTTTAGGGTAGATACAGGGGATAGAAAACGCAGGGCTGGGCCGGGCGCGGTGGCTCAAGCCTGTAATCCCAGCACTTTGGGAGGCCGAGGCGGGTGGATCACGAGGAAAAGAGATCGAGACCATCCTGGTCAACATGGTGAAACCCCGTCTCTACTAAAAATACAAAAAATTAGTTGGGCATGGTGGTGCGTGCCTGTAATCCCAGCTACTCAGGAGGCTGAGGCAGGAGAATTGCCTGAACCCAGGAGGTGGAGGTTGCGGTGAGCCGAGATCGCGCCATTGCACTCCAGCCTGGGTAACATGAGTGAAACTCCGTCTCAAAAAAAA